CGCCCCCCCTTGCATGGCACCTCGATGGGGCATTGCCCCCCCTTGCATGGCGACTCGATGGGGCATTGCCCCCCGTATATTAGTAGTCATTGTAGGTGTCATTGCTCAGCGCCCCCCCTGGCACCTTCTGGAGGAACCCTGATTGTGAATGGCGGGTCTGCACTACAAAACTGACTCTGCGTTTCTCTCTTCCAGTTTAACAGAAGGAAAGTGATGGACTCCGATGAGGAGGATGACGACTGAGGCGCTGCAAAGGGATTATCGGGGAGCACTTGTTTTACAACACATGCATTGTTCACAAATGGCACCGAGTTATCTTCTACAATTGTCCAAAAGACATTATCATGTGTATTTGATTTTTTGGGGAGCTTTGTTTGCAAAGTGGAGATCCCATTAAAGTGGCAATCATTCATTTCCTTGTATGATCGCCTCTGATGGGGATTGGTTGTGACGCACAGTTTACGTATTGTTACTTTTAGACGGAGATTTTCCTCTCAGAATTCCCCTCCTTCCCCTTCTCACAGTATATTATTTAATCTTATTATATTCTAAGAGTTTCAGTTCCCAGTCAAACCATAAACATTTTTTTTTGTTTTTCTTCATGTGACCATTTCATTGGAGGATTGTGCCATTGCTTTCTGAAAGAGAAACAAAAAACAATAAAAGTCCTTTTGTGCTGAAATTCTTAAGTTGTAGCCGTCATCTTGCGCTTTATCGTAGACGGGTAACTCTTAAGTGGTTGGGGGTGTCTGACTTACATAGGAGTGCCCTCGCTTTGCACGGCTTAACTTTTCTGACAACGTGTCATGGTGTCGCCGTGTTCAGGGTGTAACATGAAACGTGGTCAGATCGCAACCCTCCGGCCCCCTTACTTGCTGTACTGCGGGTTTCAGCTCTCCTGAGGCTTGCTTATGTGTTTGATGCGACTGCGCCATCCATTCACAGATCATTTGACACCCCAACAGCCACGGCATGGAATACAAGTGTGGTGATGTCACAGGACTTGCAGACCTTTTGGCACTTCCTCCTCTCCTTGTAAGTGAATGTCTGTACCTCGGAAGGGAGGAAGACTCTGCAGGAGCCGCAGCATTGCACCCACCATTGCAGCTGCAATGCTTTACTGGCTCCTATGTAAAATAAATGCACGTCTTCTTTTATGAAGAATGTTCATTTATACATTTTTCATTCAAAAGGTGGAATTTCCCTTTTTGGGTGAAACCTTTTATGTTACAGATGAGGCTCCTGGGTAGTGCTGAAGTTTGTCGTTTCCAGACTCCTTCAAAAGCTGGTGCTGGCTTTGTAATAGAGGCACCTTGGCAGCATTATGAGCTCCTCGAGGGCAGGGACTGATGTGAAGGTGCACTATGTAAAGCTGGCGGCGCTATATAAATATTAGGGCTGCAGAAATTAACGATTCATTCCTCGATTTAATCGTTAATTTTTTTTGATCAATTAATGTTTTGATCATTACTCACCTCTCCGCCGGCTTCTGGGATGTCTGTGACGTCACCGGACTCCTCCCCCCTTCCCCGAGTGGCTCCATAGGTTAACGAAGGGAAGGGGGGAGGAGTCCGGTGACATCCTTCTATAGTGCTGTGCTGGTTCTCCTGCTGTCACGGATCTCTCCACCATTGAAGACGCCGCTCTCAGTCTCCAGCTCAACCCCTCCTGCATCGTGGGTTTCCGTCTCACTCTGCTGACATCCAGAAACCGCAAGTAGCCTGGGTCGTCTGAGCCTGCCTTCAGTCCTGTTACAAACGTTATCCTGATCGTTATAACTAGAGGCGGGGATTGTTTAGGGAACAGCACCACCTAGTGGGGACTCCTAATAGAGCCTGCTGATTATTTCCTATGAGGAATATTGTGGATTCTGGACTATGCTATAAATGCCTGGAGATAACCATTCATGATTATTGCCTATACCAGTGATGGCGAACCTTGGCACTCCAGCTGTTTTGGAACTACAAGTCCCATGAGGCATTGCAAGGCTCTGACAGCCACAGACATAACTCCCAGAGGCAGATGCATCTTGGGATTTGTAGTTTTGGCACAGCTGGAGTGCCAAGGTTCGCCACCACTGCCCTATACTGTGGATTACTGAACTGTGTAATTACTACTAATTTATAACTCCAATACTGATATTACTCACGATCTGTGTGATGACTTCTGAACTGTGAGGTTACTACTAGGTTTAACCAACTACATTGGCCTATACACATACAGCACAGCAATGAAGTAATAAAATGAACTAGGATCACACTAATCCGGCACATTATTATTGAGTTGCCCCACTCAAACGGCGGCCATATTGAGTGGGGCACGTGAGATGAATAACGTGCTGGATGAGTGTGATCCTAGTTCATTTTATTACTTCATTGCTGTGCTGTATGTGTATAGGCCAATGTAGTTGAATCTGTATGTGCGTTATAATCAAAAATTTTTTAGATTAATCGAACACGAAAATTGTAATCATTACCAGCCCTAATACATATGTGTTATAATCATCTGCAGCGATGTACCCACCCCTGGAGTTGGGCTGTGGCAGACTTCAGCTCAGAGTAGAGCCACAATTCTGATGTGTCGCCTACCCTTCCACCGCTGTGACCTGTCCAACAAGAGGAACATGGCCAAAGTATGTGGACACCTGACCCACCCCTACACCATATGGCCAATGGTATGCAGACACTTTCACACTTGAGTTGCCATGTTTCCTGTTAATGTTACACTGTACAAAGGCATTGTAGACAATTGTGCTCCTTTATCCTTGTAACAGTTTGGCGAAGACCCTTTTCTGTCCCCTGTGTACAAAGCCAACTCCATAAAGAAATGCTGTGACCAGTCTCGTGTGGAGGAACTGGAGTGTCTTTCACAGAGCCCTGACCTCAACCCTACTGAACTAGAATGCTGATTTATAGCCAGGTCTTCTCATCCAACATCAGTAACTGACATCACAAATGGGACAAATTCCCGCAGCCACCCTCAAATCTTCTGGAAAGCCTTCCCAAAAGTGGAGGATATTATAGCAGAAAAGGGAGGCAACTCCATATTAATGGCCATGGGGGGGGATTCAACTCCATATTAATGGGGGGATTAATGGCCATGAAGGGATCCATACTCTATATTAATGACCATGGAGCGATCCAACTCCATATTAATGACCATGGAGGGATCCAACTCCATATTAATGACCATGGAGCGATCCAACTCCATATTAATGACCATGGAGGGATCCATACTCTATATTAATGACCATGGAGCGATCCAACTCCATATTAATGACCATGGAGCGATCCAACTCCATATTAAATGACCATGGAGGGATCCAACTCCATATTAATGACCATGGAGGGATCCATACTCTATATTAATGGCCATGAAGGGATCCAACTCTATATTAATGGCCATGGGTGGTCCAACTCCATATTAATGACCATGAAGGGATCCAACTCCATATTAATGGCCATGAGGGGAAGCAACTCAATATAAATGGCCATGAGTGGAGGAGGAGGCAACCCCATATTAATTGTCCATGAAGGGAGGAGGGACCAACTCCATATTAATGGCTATGGGGGAGAAGGGGCCAACTCCATATTAACGGCCACGGGGGAGGAGAAGGGGCCAACTCCATATTAATGGCCACGGGGGAGGAGAAGGGGCCAACTCCATATTAATGGCCACGGGGGAGGAGAAGGGGCCAACTCCATATTAATGGCCATGGGGGAGGAGGGGCCAGCTCCATATTAATGGCCATGGGGGATCCAACTCCATATTAATGACTATGGAGGGATCCAACTCCATATTAATGACCATGGAGCGATCCAACTCCATATTAATGACCATGGAGGGATCTAACTCCATATTAATGGCCATGAAGGGATCCAACTCAATATAAATGGCCATGAGTGGAGGAGGAGACAACCCCATATTAATTGTCCATGAAGGGAGGAGGGACCAACTCCATATTAAAAGTCATGAAGGGAGAAGGGGCCAACTCCATATTAATGGCCATGGGGGAGAAGGGGCCAGCTCCATATTAATGGGAAGGGGGGGGGGGGGGGGGCAACTCCATATTAATGGCTATGGGGGAGCAGGGGCCAACTCCATATTAACGGCCACGGGGGAGGAGAAGAGGCCAACTCCATATTAACGGCCACGGGGGAGGAGAAGAGGCCAACTCCATATTAACGGCCACGGGGGAGGAGAAGAGGCCAACTCCATATTAACGGCCACGGGGGAGGAGAAGAGGCCAACTCCATATTAACGGCCACGGGGGAGGAGAAGAGGCCAACTCCATATTAACGGCCACGGGGGAGGAGAAGAGGCCAACTCCATATTAACGGCCACGGGGGAGGAGAAGAGGCCAACTCCATATTAACGGCCACGGGGGAGGAGAAGAGGCCAACTCCATATTAACGGCCACGGGGGAGGAGAAGAGGCCAACTCCATATTAACGGCCACGGGGGAGGAGAAGAGGCCAACTCCATATTAACGGCCACGGGGGAGGAGAAGAGGCCAACTCCATATTAACGGCCACGGGGGAGGAGAAGAGGCCAACTCCATATTAACGGCCACGGGGGAGGAGAAGAGGCCAACTCCATATTAACGGCCACGGGGGAGGAGAAGAGGCCAACTCCATATTAATGACCATGAAGGGATCCAACTCCATATTAATGGCCATGGGGGAGAAGGGGCCAGCTCCATATTAATGGGAAGGGGGGGGGGGGGGGGGGGCAACTCCATATTAATGGTTTTGGAATGGAATGTTCAACAATCTTGTAATAGATATGATGGTCAGGTGTCCACAAACTTGGCCATATAGTGTATTTCAGAGAAGCAAATGCAGAGTGGTTCAGAGACAATCATTTCCCCCTATAAGCATATTATTCACAGAGTTCTGCATCTGAGTGTATTCAGAAAGCAAGGAAGAGGACGACGGCCAACTTATAAAACCAAGGAAGCTGCGGAAGGATGCCGTCCCCTTTAAGGTCAGTTTTCATTGGACGGATGCACTTTAATCTCAGCCGTTGCAGGTTTTATACTTTCCCCAATTACAACAAAGTGAAGCAGAGCCGGGAATGTGTTGCAGAGTCTTTTATTACACGGAACCCTTTAGTACTTGGCACTGGTGAAGGCACATTAGAAAGAAACATAAATTATGTAGAAAAATATACACGTGAATAACCGGCTCATGCTGCGACGAGGATTCCTCCGTATTCGGTGCACTACAATTATTACAAATACTGTTCACAGAGAACGGCCGGAAATGACGATATAGATGCCGTGTGAGAACGCCGTTCGTCCGCGTCCGGGTGCAACGCCAAGAGAAATAATAAAACGTGCTTCTAGAGTTCTGGGCGCGTAGCAGAGAATTGGAGCTACTTTATCATTCTCGTATGTCGCAGCCAAAAGGAGAATTATGAGGCGAGTAATTTTTCACTCAGCGTCATAATCTGGGCCGACCTGTGACAATGGGACTGTCACAGGTCGGCTCAGTAGATCGGGAAGTGAGCCAACACATACCGTCACTTGCTCACTTCTCGATCTATCCCTGCAGAGAGCCGTGACTGTCGCTCACGGCTCCCTGCAGGGATCCCTCCCCTGTACGATCCTCCAGCGCTGACTGGCGGATCGGACGGGGGAGGGGGCGTGCACATCTGGCTCTGCCTCTAGATAGGCAGAACCAGCTGTCAATCACTCAGCTGGGTGGATCCAGACAGTATTGTCGGGATCCGTCCCACCTGCGGCGTCTCAGTATACCCAGAGCTGTAGCTCGCTATATACTGAGCTTAGGATGACGGGAGAACGCTAGTTTGTATCCTCCCGTGACCCTTAGGAGAACTATGGGGAAAAGCCCTAACCCCATAGTTCTAAAAGTCAAAACTTTTATTAGTTATCATTTCTTCTCACATTTAACATTCCAGATTATTTTTATTAGAATTGTGAATTCTTAGAGCCGAGTCAGGTCATGAAAACGGATATCCCCGTATACCTGAGCATTGTTCCTATACACGGCAAAGGGACAGAAGAGGGTGAAATGGATCTATTCTGCATCTAGAACTCTTTATAGACGCCTTTCTCCCCTTATTATACTTTATATAGGGACAATGTTGAGGTAAATATGGAATGGCAGGGCCCTCCGTACCATCTCGTCTTGTGATTGTAATGTCTTCCTTATATTGTAAAGCGCTGCGCACACTGTTGGCGCTCTATAAATCCTGTATAGTAATAATAATTCTCTTGCCTGCTCGGATTCACCGACATCACACGTAATCTTTGCAGGGCAAAACAACAGGCTCACTACAATGCCGACCTCCACAGTTGCACTCACTGACCTTCCCCTTTCACTCCCAATGGGTGAATTACATTTATACATAAAGTGCTGGTGGAGGGGGTGACACGTGCAGAGTCTCTATGGCAGGGGGTAGGCAACCTTGACACTCCAGCTGTTGTAGAACTACAAGTCCCATAAGCCATTGCCATACTCATGATTCCCATAAGACATTGCCATACATGATTCCCAGAGGCATGATGGGATTTGGAAAGCAGAGGTTGCCTACGATGTAGTAACCTTCTGCGCAGGAATCTTGCTGACGCATTTCTCCATTGCAGAGGCACGCACAATTCAAGCAGCATGCAGCGGTTATATATGACAGCGGTAAATAGAAAGTGAAGCCGCTCTGTTATCTTCCAGGAGGAGACGCGCTGCGACCTTGTGTCCAGGAACAGCCATACCTGCTCCTGTGTGCACCTATCACGACTCTGATCTCTGCTGTGCTCCCCGCTCATGGGATAGCTTTTCCATTACAAGTTCACCGACACCAATACGGGTCAGTTCCAGGCCCACCAATCCATAAAGTGATGATGCTTACCAGCAAACATTGCATAGCAGGCTGTGTCAACATTCCTGTCCATCGCTTCCATCTTCTCCCAGTTTGCTTGGTTCAGAGTCTTTAGGGTCTTGATTGGCCAGGCCCGGATGAAGGAACTCCCACCCACTCATAGGTACGGGAGTTACTTGGATCCAGCTCAGAATTGTGTTGGGACTTGTACGGAGCCGCACATTCATGTCTCAATGTGCACTTAGGGCTTGTTCACACCAATTGCGGTGCGTTCCAGAGCGGTAGCTGCTGGAACGCACCGCAATCGCTCACACAACTCCCCCCCCCCCATGTTCTTGGGCGGGAGGGGGCGTGGCAGTGCATTGAAGTCAATGGCACTTTGTTTGCACCAGACGCCTCTTCAAATCCTGATATCACCTTGTAAAAGTAGCAGTGACATCATCACTTGCACATAGCTTGTGCAAGCAGAGCTGTGGGAGGGACTCACAAGGCCAGAGAAGTCACTGCACAAGCAAAGAGCAGCAGGGACCAGTCTTTATTACAGGAAGCTCCTCCTACTACAAGCTGCCTTCAGAAAACTACAGGAGAGGGCGGACACCCTGCACAAGAAGAGAGCGCAGCAGTGACCGGTCTTTATTACAGGAGGGGGCGGATACAAGACCAGTCACCCTGCACAAGAAGAGAGCGCAGCAGTGACCGGTCTTTATTATAGGAAGGGGCGGATACAAGACCAGTCACCCTGCACAAGAAGAGAGCGCAGCAGTGACCGGTCTTTATTACAGGAAGGGGCGGATACAAGACCAGTCACCCTGCACAAGAAGAGAGCGCAGCAGGGATCGGCCCTTATTACAGGAGGGGCGGAGACAAGACCAGTCACCCTGCACAAGGAGAGAAAGAGCAGCAGGGAGCGGTTTTTATTACAGGAAGGGGCGGAGACAAGACAAGTCACGCTGCACAAGGAGAGAGAGCAGCAGTGACCGGTCTTTATTATAGGGGGTGGGGGGAGACAAGACCAGTCACCCTGCACAAGGAGAGAGCAGCAGTGACCGGTCTTTATTACAGGAAGCTCCAGGTCTCACACGGGATTACTGCACAGATCTGGAGAAATACACAAAGCTCACCAAGCAACACACATGGATCTTGTAGAAAGACAATATTTGGTTATCCCGGAGTTCAGCTTTAAAAGTATCTATAGCCAAATCCTTAACTTTTACTTTCTGGTAGAGCGGGGGAAGATCAGAACCCCCGTCTGGTAAAATGGTTGTCTCCAGGACAGGAAGTGAGGAGAAATCTGTCACAGCAGCACAGACACAAATAAAAATGCTTGGTGCTTTTTTGTCAGGGGAATGCTAGAACCTCTGTCAGCGTCTTATTGTGGTCTGCTTTCCTGGTGCAAATGCTCCCTCACTTCCTTTCTGGTAAATGGCTCCCGAAGAGGAAGTGAGGGGAAATTTTACTAATGGAGCCCCTGATAGGGGTAAACTTAACAGGGGGCTGTAACCTTTCTCCAGACCCATGATAAACCCGCCAGGCGGCTGTAAATGGCCCTGCATCCGTTTCCATCCAATGACCTCCGATCCGTCCAGGTCCAAAAAAAGCAGAATGGGACGCAAACCTTTCCGATTTTTGTTTTCAGACCCTAGGACAGTGGTGGCAAACCTTGGCACTCCAGCTGTGCCAAAACTACAAATCCCAACATGCATCTGCCTCTGGGAGTTATGTCTGTGGCTGTCAGAGCCTTGCAATGCCTCATGGGAGTTGTAGCTCAAAAGCAGCTGGAGTGCCAAGGTTCGCCACCACTGCCCTAGGAGGTAATAGGACGCACGTCCATTTACATGCGCCTGCCTATAGACCAGGGTAGGCTGTTCTGGAACTACAAGTCCCATGACGCATTGCAATACTCGGTCTATGGCAGCGGTAGGCGACCTCGGTACTCCAGCGAGACTACAAATCCCGCCATGCCTTGACAAACGCTGACAGGCAGAGCTGGATCGGCCATGTGAACGAGGCCTAAATCTGAGGACCTTTGGATAATCATTGTGCACGTCGGTGCCGGGCAAGGTCTGAGACCCGCCGCTTATCGTTCCTCGCCGCAACAAAGAACTTGCGTTTATGTATAACAGCGTGCGTATTTTATTCTAAAAATGAATATCAACGTTTGCATTGAACCTTTTCCTTCCCGGATTTCGAGGACTTCTCCACAACGAGCTACAGATCTCGCATCATCATATAAGGAAAACCAGGACATTCCCTGGGTGAACTTCAGCAGCAGTAAAGTGAGCCCTACAGCCTAGTCCCTCAGCCGTCAATGAACTACAAGCCCCAGCATGGACTGCTAGAGACTGGAGGTTCTTCAGACGCCGGAGGTCAATACACTTGGCATTAAAGCGTCGTGCCGCCACAGTGCTAAGTACTGAACCGGATGCAGTCTTCATCGCACGTACGCGGGCTGCAGGAACCCACCACGGACCAGGAGGATTCCAGAGCCAATGTGCAAGCTACGCAGCAGCACTCCGCCCCCCCGGAGCAGTCCAGGTCGTCCATTTTCGGGGTGTCGTTTGCAGCCCCGGGGCCAGTGAGTAAGTTCATGTCGGCCAGCTCTCGGGTGCACGCCTCCTCGTCGTCGTCGTCTGAGTCCTGCCCGCACGTTTCGGACAGCGGAGAGCTGATGTCTGTCACCGTGTCGCTGATGTCACTGGTGGTCTCCTCGCTGTCTATAGCGCAGGCCACGTTGAGGCTGTGCCTTCTGGCCGCCAGCTTGCTGGTCTTTGACGCAGAGTCCGGCTCGTCCGCTTTACAGCCTTCCTTGAATTCGATGCAGCTCCTAGAGTCCGATGTCCCCGGACTGTCTTCTAGTCTGTGGATGGAGAGCTGCAAAAGGGAAAAGGAAATGCTTAAAGAGGACCTGTCAGGATGGAACATGGAAGCGGCCATTACTGAGCTCCTTCCAAGCAGTAGTAGAGTATTGTACCGTATTACCATAGATCAGTGCAGACCTCAAACCTCTTTCCATACCAGACACCCAACAACTACCGTTCCCCATCTTGGCCATTTCCCTTCCACCCCAAGTCCTTTGTCAACGCTCCACCAACAACCCCTCCAAATTATTTGTTTGGCCAACTATCCACCTGACTCATTCGATTTGTCCAACCCGTACATGGCGGCAGCCATATTTACCCAATACATGTAGGTCACTGCACCAAAACAAAACACCAGATCTGAATTTCTGTTCTCTTTCAGCTTATAAAACCTAATAAATCAAATAAATCAAATCCTTTACTACAAGAAAGGTTAAAGCTGAACTCCGGGATCAGCAAATATCGTCCCCATACAAGAGACATGTGTGTTCTTCTGGAATCTTTGTGTATTTCTTCCAGATCGGTGCAGTAATCCAGTGCGAGATCTCCTGTAATAAAGACCGGTCACTGTTGCTCTCTCCTTGTGCAGGGTGACTGGTCTTGTCTCCGCCCCCTCCCGTAATAAAGACTGGTCACCGCTGCTCTCTGCTTGTGCAGGGTGACTGGTTTTGTCTCCGCCCCTGCTGTAATAAAGACCAGTCACCGCTGCTCTCTCCTTGTGCAGGGTGACTGGTCTGGTCTCCGCACCCTCCCGTAATAAAGACCGGTCACTGCTGCTCTCTCCTTGTGCAGGGTGACTGGTCTTGCTCCGCCCCCTCTTGTAATAAAGACCGCTCACTGCTGCTCTCTCCTTGTGCAGGGTGACTGGTCTTGTCTCCGCCCCCTCCCGTAATAAAGACTGGTCACCGCTGCTCTCTTTGTGCAGGGTGACTGGTCTTGTCTCTCCCCCCTCCTGTAATAAAGACCAGTCACCGCTGCTCTCTCCGTGTGCAGGGTGACTGGTCTGGTATCCACCCCCCTCCTGGAATAAAGACCACTCACTGCTGCTCTCTCTCCTTGTGCAGGGTGACTGGTCTTGTCTCAGCCCCCTCTTGTAATAAAGACCGGTCACTGCTGCTCTCTCCTTGGGCAGGGTGACTGGTCTGGTCTCCGCCCCCTCCTGTAATAAAGACCGCTCACTGCTGCGCTCTCTCCTTGTGCAGGGTGACTGGTCTCGTCTCCGCCCCCCTCCTGTAGTTTCCTGTAGGGGTGAAGCCTGCTGGCCCCTCCCACAGTTCTGAACAGGCTATATACACCACAACGATGTTACCGCTACATTTCCAAGGTAATATCTGGGTATGCAAAAACATTTGGTGCACACAAAAAGTGGATTTATATCCTTTAGAATGACAATCTTTGCACCCAGACACAGTGCTCACTGGGAGTCTACTGAGGAATATAGTTTTGTGCCCGGAGTTCAGCTTTAAGAATTCCAATAAACATGAATGCCACAAGTCCTCATACCTGATGGATTAAATCCTCGTCAAAGTTCGGCATGCTCTGATCCCTGCGGATCGGCTTTTTCACGCTTGTACATCTGCAAATCAAGAAGAGCAAAATGGGTCTGTGATGTATAAAGAGGAGACCTATGAGGGAGACATTACACTGCAGTATATAGGAACGGGCACGCCGCATACATTGCAGTATATAGGAACGGGCACGCCGCATACACCGCAGTATATAGGAACGGGCACGCCGCATACGCTGTAGTATATAGGAACGGGCACGCCGCATACACCGCAGTATATAGGAACGGGCACGCCGCATACGCTGTAGTATATAGGAACGGGCACGCCGCATACGCCGCAGTATATAGGAACGGGCACGCAGCAGTATATAGGAAAGGGCACGCTGCAGTATATAGGAATGGGCACGCCATATACGCCGCAGTATATAGGAAAGGGCACGCTGCAGTATATAGGAACGGGCATGCTGCAGTATATAGGAACGGGCACGCTGCAGTATATAGGAACGGGCACGCCGCAGTATATAGGAACGGGCACGCCGCATACACTGTAGTATATAGGAACGGGCACGCCGCATACACTGCAGTATATAGTAACACAATCCGCCTACATGGCTGGCAGATCCTCTCACTTATTACACTCAATCTGCCTCGTGCCGCCGCTCATATGTGAGAAGACCATCTGTCTGCATGAAAAATAAGCCACTTTTATCGTTTCCCATTACGCCTAATGGACAAATCCTCCAAACCCGGCAATCCCCAAATCTTCTCTGCACAGCATGTGTGGTGGGGGAACGGAAGGCAATGGATTACAAGTCAAGGGCACATGGCCCTTTCACCTCCATTTAATAAAATAAATAGGATTATAGAAGTAACGTTATGAAAGCATATTAAGCCTCTCTGAGAGCAACTCTGCCGAAATAAACATCGTTCTGTGAAGGATGGAAGAGCGGGGAACTTACTTGGGTTGTGAAGCATTACTCTGTCCGGATGAAGAAGGCGATACTGAACATGTCAGGCTGGAATTTGGGGCTAGAAAACAATAAATTTCAGATTACAGGACATTTATATAAAAGACAAACCCCCCCCCCCCATATCTCTCCTCTGCACTGCTGGGGGACTCTGCTCCTTCCTCTATGTAACTCCTCTGCTGGAGGACTCTGCTCCTTCCTCCATGTAACTTTCCCCTGCTGGAGGACTCTGCTCCTTCCTCTATGTAACTTTCCCCTGCTGGAGGACTCTGCTCCTTCCTCTATGTAACTTTCCTCTGCTGGAGGACTCTACTCCTTCCTCTATGTAACTTTCCTCTGCTGGAGGACTCTGCTCCTTCCTCTATGTAACTTTCCTCTGATGAAGGACTCTGCTCCTTCCTCTATGTAACTTTCCCCTGCTGGAGGACTCTGCTCCTTCCTCTATGTAACCTTCCTCTGCTGGAGGACTCTGCTCCTTCCTCTATGTAACTTTCCCCTGCTGGAGGACTCTGCTCCTTCCTCTATGTAGCTTTCCCCTGCTGGAGGACTCTGCTCCTTCCTCTATGTAGCTTTCCCCTGCTGGAGGACTCTGCTCCTTCCTCTATGTAGCTTTCCCCTGCTGGAGGACTCTGCTCCTTCCTCTATGTAGCTTTCCCCTGCTGGAGGACTCTGCTCCTTCCTCTATGTAGCTTTCCCCTGCTGGAGGACTCTGCTCCTTCCTCTATGTAGCTTTCCCCTGCTGGAGGACTCTGCTCCTTCCTCTATGTAGCTTTCCCCTGCTGGAGGACTCTGCTCCTTCCTCTATGTAGCTTTCCCCTGCTGGAGGACTCTGCTCCTTCCTCTATGTAGCTTTCCCCTGCTGGAGGACTCTGCTCCTTCCTCTATGTAGCTTTCCCCTGCTGGAGGACTCTGCTCCTTCCTCTATGTAGCTTTCCCCTGCTGGAGGACTCTGCTCCTTCCTCTATGTAGCTTTCCCCTGCTGGAGGACTCTGCTCCTTCCTCTATGTAGCTTTCCCCTGCTGGAGGACTCTGCTCCTTCCTCTATGTAGCTTTCCCCTGCTGGAGGACTCTGCTCCTTCCTCTATGTAGCTTTCCCCTGCTGGAGGACTCTGCTCCTTCCTCTATGTAGCTTTCCCCTGCTGGAGGACTCTGCTCCTTCCTCTATGTAGCTTTCCCCTGCTGGAGGACTCTGCTCCTTCCTCTATGTAGCTTTCCCCTGCTGGAGGACTCTGCTCCTTCCTCTATGTAGCTTTCCCCTGCTGGAGGACTCTGCTCCTTCCTCTATGTAGCTTTCCCCTGCTGGAGGACTCTGCTCCTTCCTCTATGTAGCTTTCCCCTGCTGGAGGACTCTGCTCCTTCCTCTATGTAGCTTTCCCCTGCTGGAGGACTCTGCTCCTTCCTCTATGTAGCTTTCCCCTGCTGGAGGACTCTGCTCCTTCCTCTATGTAGCTTTCCCCTGCTGGAGGACTCTGCTCCTTCCTCTATGTAACTTTCCTCTGCTGGAGGACTCTGCTTCTTCCGCTAGCTAACATTCCTCTCCTGAAATACTTCTGGGGACAGAGGCAGCATCACATATACTGTGTTACAGCCCCCGTCTCATACCCTCTGTGACCATCATTGAATGGGTTCTCCTTCTGAAGAAGCAAACTTACATTTCTTTCTAATATGCTGTGACTGCTCCAGTGATGTCACTGACCCGTTATCTGCTGCTGCACTGTGGGGTGCAGAGAGAAGAAGCTGCTTGATTTTAGAGTTCTGAAAGAAAAGAAAACAAACATAAAAGTGTGCCCATCAATGGGGACAGCCATTCTAAAGAAACAAAACAAGTTTTAGAGGTTCCAACCCTCTGCCGCTTTATCTTAAACTAGAGAGTTATCTAGAGTTCCCCGGGGTATGCCTAATGGGGAGCTTCTTCAACGATCTGATGCATTGTCCCTACTGGTTGGAGGAGAGTTGGGGTCCGGATGAAGGAGGAGAGTTGGGGTCCGGATGAAGGAGGAGAGTTGGGGTCCGGATGAAGGAGGAGAGTTGGGGTCCGGATGAAGGAGGAGAGTTGGGGTCCGGATGAAGGAGGAGAGTTGGGGTCCGGATGAAGGAGGAGAGTTGGGGTCCGGATGAAGGAGGAGAGTTGGGGTCCGGATGAAGGAGGAGAGTTGGGGTCCGGATGAAGGAGGAGAGTTGGGGTCCGGATGAAGGAGGAGAGTTGGGGTCCGGATGAAGGAGGAGAGTTGGGGTCCGGATGAAGGAGGAGAGTTGGGGTCCGGATGAAGGAGGAGAGTTGGGGTCCGGATGAAGGAGGAGAGTTGGGGTCCGGATGAAGGAGGAGAGTTGGGGTCCGGATGAAGGAGGAGAGTTGGGGTCCGGATGAAGGAGGAGAGTTGGGGTCCGGATGAAGGAGGAGAGTTGGGGTCCGGATGAAGGAGGAGAGTTGGGGTCCGGATGAAGGAGGAGAGTTGGGGTCCGGATGAAGGAGGAGAGTTGGGGTCCGGATGAAGGAGGAGAGTTGGGGTCCGGATGAAGGAGGAGAGTTGGGGTCCGGAGGGGCGGGGGGGGTGTGGAGGGGGGAAGAGTGGGGGTCCGGATGGAGGAGAGTTGGGGTCCGGATGGAGGAGAGTTGGGGTCCGGATGGAGGAGAGTTGGGGTCCGGATGGAGGAGAGTTGGGTTCTCGTAGAAAGAGATTAAGAATGAAGAGGCAGAGGGAAAAACATTCAAAGCGATGCAAGACCGCCTTTATTAGAACAACAAAGATGGCCATTTTTTTCATGTACTGGTCAGTTGCTCTTAAACAAGACACATCATGAACGCAGAGACCTTGTACCTCTTTTGCATAGTCCAAAGGGGAGTACTGCCGCTTATTCCTGATGTCCACCACCGCCCCGTATAACAGAAGTAGCCTCACTAACTCCTCATGGTTCCTGCGGACAGACTCATGTAGTGCTGTGTTCCCTTTCACATTGCAGAGATTGACAGACGCTCCACGCTGGAGGGGAAGCAAACGGTGGAATAAAAAATTAAAAATAACAATAAACTACAAACATGGCCAACCTGAAAAAATAATATTCACCTGTAATTCCGTATACGTTAGATATAAAATGTCTGCATATGTGAAATGATTGGAAATAAAACGTAAAGTAGACCTGCAGCCCGGCATATGTTCAAATAATGAATGTAGCTTTTGCTGCAATCTCTGGCGCCGTCCCACCCATCCTGTCATCCAGCACCGGATCCTCTGTCCTTCCCAGTGTGATTCAAACCATTTCCTGCGAGTCCAGAGCTCTGCTCCCTCTCATCCAAAGTGACAGGCGGAGAAGTCTGGGCTCTTTCACCATTGAAATAAAGCGCACTTGTGGGGAAATAATTCTTCTTGGGTAAAGAGGGAACGATGACCACAGATATACCAACACAATGGGCTCCTCACTTACAGGTGTTTCATGCACAAAAATAACATTTGTTAAAGCAGAACTCTAGTGAAATCTCACCACTAAGGCCCCATTCAGCTCTGTGCACGGCCGTATCGGGCAGCTCCCGGGAAGGACAGGTGCTGCGTGCGATTAGTACATAGCCCCTGTCCTTCTCTATGGGATTACGCGGCCGTACGCTGCCCTACGCTCACCAGCCCTGCACGTCCGTGCGGCTGAGCATGCTCTTACACTGACAGGATGGATCCCGCCCGCGTCCGAGCCAGTAAACACACACCCGCACGGACCTGCACTTGGGGTGAGCGTAGGGTGGCGTATGGCCACGTAGTCCCATAGAGAAGGACAGGGGCTGCGTACTAATCACACGCAGCACCTGCCCTTCCCAGGAGCTGCCTGATACGGCCATGCACGCAGCACGGAGCTGTACGTGTCGGCCGATTCCCGTGTGAATGAGGCCTAAAGATCCGAGAGATATAAACCAGCTAAAATCAAAAGTCCATAGACCCATCACACTCCTGACCCCTTGTTCCACAAGAAACAGAGGGGTGCTGAGGTAGTCAACGGATGGCAACCATTACATACATAGATATAAACAGGGACACCAGCACTCCAAATGCGTCCATTTATTGACGAAGATGCAGCATATCACACTGGTGCGACGTTTCGGCGTCTTGCAGGATGCTGCGAGACCCCGAAACATTGCACCAGTGTGATATGCTGCATCTAAGTCAATAAATGGACGCATTTGGAGTGCTGGTGTCCCTGTTTATATCTATAAGCCAGCTAATGACTCAGCCCACCAGACTCCCCATTACAACAGAGATTACCTGTGGATGGAGTGCCCCTGAATCCCCTACATAGCACAGCTGCTGCACATGATGCTTAGAGCGGTCTCATCCCTTGCAATTGCCAGGACAAGCCTGGCGGTGGGGAGTCTCCCTACCTCCAGTAATAGTGCTGCAATTTCCAGATTGCCTCCCATACAGGCATAGATAAGAGGTGTATTGCCGTTTATATCCTTCTTATTCTTCCCCGTGCTGTACTCCATCAGGATCTTCACCACCTGTTGAAATAAAATCTATCAGTGCAATATAAAAGACCCGCCAAGGGCTTTACAGAGGTGTCCCAATGTCTATGCAAAGGAGACATCCCAGAGGGAGAGGGAACATGAATAGACATGCCAACTGTATCAGGAGGAGAAGGACTCAAGGATCTTACTGCTGTGGTTACTAGATGTAAAACACCTCCAGATGTCTCAGCCCACCAGATTACCCCATCCACTGAAATATCAATTTTGAATGAACTGACCCTATAAACGAATACCTGGTGCCACCGCAAAACACAAGCTGCATGCATTTATGGCAAACCTGATACATCACACGATAACTTTTTGCACTTCAAAGTGCAACTCCACTCTGGGAGTAATCCGCTCCGGGTCATCTACAGTATGTAAACTGCATTGTTTCACCATGACTTTTCCAGACGGATTCCTGAATGGGAGGGTCAGCATTCACGATAACCACCTGAGCAAATGTTGGAGGAAAACCGTTGAGGAAAGGTGCAGTGTCTGCATCCCTTTAGGAGACAAGCCTTAGGGAATTTCTCACCAAAAATATAATTTCTATTGTGCAGATGTCAAAAATCTCACTTGGTGAACTGTCTGAGAACATCAGTGAGCCAATCACACAAGCTGTGGGGGTTGCTGCTCTACATTAGTGGTGGGCTTGGGCTAGCATAGTGGTCAGATTGTGGGGGACCCTCTTTGGAAAGGAGATCACATGCTCTTCCACCACTGGCAGTGGGCAGGTAGCACCTGAACATGGCAGTTAAAGGGGCCTTGTAATGACCCGAACATCCAGTCTAAAAGGTGTTGCTTGCACACCCTTCAACAAAATGGAGCCAGACTCACCTCCAGATGTCCTTTGTGGCAGGCGAGGTGAAGAGCTATGGCACGGGTACCATTCTTGGCATCCACCCGAGCCCCGTGTTTTAGCAGAAGGGACACAAGGACGATGTGACCGTGTAGTGAAGCTATATGGACAGGAGTGAAACCATCCTGGCTGGTCACGTTGACACCGAGGCCATTGGAAGGGATCTTGCTCAGCTTCTGCACAGACAGACACATAAATAACTAGAAACATATACACTGGTTTACCTTTCATTTGCTCTGTGTATCATATACAACTGCTGAGGTTTTCCCTTAAATACTGTACAGTAATCCAGTGTGCATCTTTGTGTAGGAGCTTCCTGTAATAAAGACCGCTCACTGCTGCTCCCTCTCCTTGTGCAGGGTGCCTGGTCTTGTCTCTACCCCCTTCTGTAATAAAGACCGGTCACTGCTGCTCTCTCTCCTTGTGCAGGGTGACTAGTCTCATCTCCGCCCCCCTTCTGTAATAAAGACCGGTCCCTGCTGCTCCCTCTCCTTGTGCAGGGTGCCTGGTCTTGTCTCTACCCCCTTCTGTAATAAAGACCGGTCACTGCTGCCCTCTCTTTGTGCAGGGTGACTGTCATCTCCGCCCCCTTCTGTGATAAAGACCGGTCATTGCTGCTCTCTCTCCTTGTGCAGGATGCCTGGTCTTGTCTCTACCCCCTTCTGTAACAAAGACTGCTCACTGCTGCTCTCTCTCCTTGTGCAGGGTGACTGGTCTTATCTCCGGCCCCTCCTGTAATAAAGACCGGTCACTGCTGCTCTCTCTCTCATTGTGCAGGGTGACTGGCCTCGTCTCCGCCCCCTCCTGTGGGCAACCTGCTGTGCAAGGGTGGGCCACTCTGGCCCTCCAGCTGTGCTTTGACTACAGATCCCAACATTCCTTTGGGAGTCATCCCTGTAACTGTGAGCCTTGCAGTGCCTCATGGGACTTGTTTTTTCCCCACAACAGCTGAAGGGCCAGAGTTGCCCACCCTGTTGTAGGGGATGGAGCTGCTTGGTCCCTCCCAAGGCGTTCAGCTGCCCCGTGTTCAGCTTTAATTATAACCGAAATGGTAATTATAAATAACCAAAATGGTACAAATGATGAGCATGATGTCTTAATTATGACTTCATAGGAATGGACGGAGTTTAAAGCACTTGTTGTAAATCAGCATATAAATCTCCCTTCAATGCCTATCAATGTTAATTGCCGCTGACTTCTGAGCATAAAATAAACCGGATGGACCTTCTGAACAGGACCGCAGGTCCGGCACTGGCACAGTGGGTGGCAGAACTCTTTCTGCCCCGGCAAGGAATCTTCCAAGTCATCCTCATAGTCATCGTCCACCCACTCCAAGAGGTATCGCACCTGCGGGAACAGAGCACAATAGGCAACGGGAAGAGGATGAAGTCTGGGCAAGTTTCGTTTCAGATGACTGGACCAGGCACGGAAATCACCTACCATCTCTAAATCACCATCCGAAACGGCTCTTAGAAGCTTCTCAACCTGGAAAAGAGTAAAATAGAAAAGCCGATTACAAATCATCCATTTCCTATGAACAGAGGTGATAAAAAAGGTGCAATCAAGTGAAAGAGAACTTTTAACTTAAAGTGACATTAAACCCTCAGATTTTTTAACATAAAACAATACTGTAATGTGCGCCTTACTGTAATCCATGGTAGTTTCCCTTCTCTTTGCTGCTCTTCCTTTTAAATCTGTATCTGTTCTCATGCTGGGCAGAACTTCTGTTTTGCAGCAGACTGCCTTGTCTCAGGAATGGATACATGGTGTCTGTGTATAGGTTTGCAACCTGAGCCAGCACTATAGGAAGAGGCCCTGAGCTGCAAAGGGACGTTCTCCCCCAGCATGAGAAGACATGAGGATTTAAAAGGAAGAGCAGCAAAGAGAAGGGAAACGACCATGGATTACAGTAAGGCGCACATTACAGTATTGGTTTATGTTAAAAAATCTGAGGGTCTAATGTCACTTTAAATGCTTAGATGTAGGCTTCCTATAGATGTTGACATTTCCTCCTTCTCCCGCTGTTCCCTTTGTGCCAGTCTCACTTTCCTGTTTCTGGTTCCTTTCCCTAGCAGGGTCGTATGGAGCCACCCTTCCATGCACGCTCCCAATATCTGACTACAGGGCGACAGGATCATGCTGCCTGTGCCGACCTATAAGACACACACTTAGGATACGCCCTCTGCTCCTCCTCCAAGGGAAATGACTGACAGCGGCTCAAGAGCCAATGCCTGGGAATCTGCTTCTCAATCATTTCCCTTGGAGGGGGAGCAGAGGGCGGTATCATGTGTGTGTTGCCCTGGCTGTCTGGGAGTGTTGGAGCAGGCAGCGGTTTTTGTTTTTTTAAGCAAGGGCACACGTGTGCCATAGCGCAAACAATGATGGGACTTGTAGTCCTAAAAGCTAATCTTGCGTACGTTACAAGCTCTTACTTCCCTACCTGGGAGGTATGGGGGAAGAGGCACACAGGAACCTGCGGGATGTGGCGCAAACCCACAAAAAAAAAAAAAAAAAAGGAGTGGTTCTGAATTTTTGGGAAGGAATGGGGGGGGTAGTCAAGAACCAGCTGTACTCCTTACCGGAATAGTAGTAAACCTGCCAAGCAGGTGTGTGCTTGTAGTGACCACGGACGGCCCCCGTGAACAATGCAGCTCTAGAAAGTATTGTCACCAGCACACCAAAGGTTTTGAAGCAAAAAGTCCTTTATTGACAAATCGCCATCCAATACAAGCGCTTTCGGGGTCTCAGCAGTACCCCTTCATCAGGCTCAGAAACTGAGCCTGATGAAACTGAACCTGATGAAACTGAGCCTGATGAAGGGGTACTGCTGAGACCCCGAAAGCGCTTGTATTGGATGGCGATTTGTCAATAAAGGACTTTTTGCTTCAAAACTTTAGGTGTGCTGGTGACAATCCTTTCTAGATCTGGAATGGGGGGTGCAGGGTAGACCCAATACAAAAGGTTGCCAGTCCTGCAGTTTGTTTTCCTTAGAGAGCAGCCACAGCCCGAGTAGAAACATCTGTCCCCTAGGAGGACACTTGCGCTCTGTGAGGAATCGGTGGTCTCCCTGCAGAGTTCGACCCCCCTTTTGAGCCAGAACTAGATCTCTCCAAACAGCATGGAGCATGAGCGTAGCTAATTACAGAGTTTTAAATCTGACTCAGCAAGGGGTGCGTCATTCCCCTGCAGTGAGACTACTGCTTCCACACAATGGTCCTTCACAGCTGGCAGGGAACAAGCTTTCCTTATTAGGATGTGGCTGCTTTCTAAAGAAAAATGTAGTATCCTGCACATTTTTTTTTTTAGAATGATGCACCGGGAATGTATTTAGTTGATTTAAACAGAAGATTTGGGCTTTAAATTTGATGTTTTTAATTCTTTACACAATAAAAAAAATAACAAAACACATAAATTGAACCAGGACAGGAGCCAGTGCACACATATACTTTAAAAGAACTGATGAACTGATGCAGAGCATACAAACAATGTCTATGTTTATACTGTGTGTGTGTATATGTATGTGTATATATGTGTATGTATGTATGTATGTATGTATGTATGTATGTATGTATGTATGTATGTATGT